AATGTATTGACACATGTCTAAATTATATTTATTGTAGGACACGTGTCAATACACTATTGGTGAATAATTGTGGATGACTCCATAAGTCGAGCCATCAGATGACTCCATAACAAAACTGCCTATTTACATCCATTAGATCTATATCAATGGATGATTGTGATTTATCTCCACGTTCTAATTTTAAGAATGAGTCTCATTGGAACTACACTATTTTTAAGAATTGATCTATATCAAACGAGTCATTATTCTTAAAACGAGAATACGAGGTAATTATTTTGTAAATATTTGGTCAAATTCTAATCAATGATTGGTTGAACGACGGGCGCCAATCGAAGTCCAGGCCGACGACGAGGCATAGGTGACGACAATGGGGAGAACGACAAAAGTCACCGACGTCTTCAGAACAATCGTCATTTTCAAGTGCACATTTAGTTCATATATACATAATACATACTTAGTTACTATCAATTGTATATTTTACTTTGTTGACTTCTTAATTAAATACTAGTACGGAGCCCGTGCGACGCACGGGAGTTTCGTACATTAAAATATTTTTGGAAAATTTTATTTTAACAATATATTAGCCCGTTGACCTGTTTATATTCATATAAATAATATTTTAACATATATATTTATTTTTTAATACAGAAAAAATAATAATTTTACATATTTTAGTTCATCATAATACTCAAATATTATTTTATTCAAATATTTATTGTCGTATAATGTCATTATTATTTATACCATTTATAGAAGTAATATTCCTTTTTAAAAATATATAATTTTCTTATCTTTCTATTTTCGTATAATGTCATTTTATTTTGTTTTTAGAATTATTTTATTTAAATATATTCATAATTGTTCATACTTTTGTTACAGTATTAAATTGTAATATTCTTCTTTCAATATTGTAGGAATACATTCGAGAAACACAAAAATATTCACACCGAGATTTCAAAAAGATTCAAATACGACCATCCTCATTGATAAGGTAAAAAAAAAACAGTGGTGAGTATTAATCCATCAAGTTATTTATATACAGTTTTGCTGTGGAGCCATCCACACTTATTCACCAATAGTGTATTGACACGTGTCCTGCATTAAATACACTTTGGACATGTGTCAATACATTAAGTGGTGGATGACTCCATAAGAAAACCATCTGATGGCTCTATAGAATTTGTGTATTTATATATCACGTGGTTATGCTTATATATATTACTATCATATAATCAATGATTTGAGTTACCTTGAAAGAGACTTTGAGTTGTTGATTTTTTACTATGCGTGCTGCACTTTTTTGTTGAATTATTTCTTTAAGCTTGAGCTATTTGATCTCTGTTCATTGCTCAGTAGCTTTCTTTTGATAAAACTTGTGTTGATTATGCNACAAATGATTCGTTCGTGTAAGTTGAAACTTCATTGTTCGCTACATTGAAAACATGAACTGTGTTAAAAAAACATTATAAAAAAAATAAGTATAAGTTCATATATTGCCCAATAAAGAAAGACTCTAATCAGTAGTGTAAGTATGATAAAAGTAGTTGGACAATGTATCTATTGTATGGTGATAAGTAATATATTGTATCACAAACTTATACAATAATATCATAAACTTTATAAATAATGTTGATTGGAAAGAGGATAAACTATTGTTTAAATCAATCAATTTCATTAATTAAATTAACTCACTTAAATATCCTGCTAGTATTTATTTATTTAAATAAATTATATCCTAATGTAGTAAAAAAAAAATTTTTGATGGGAAATAGTTACTATTTTAAAAATAATCAAACATTTATATATATATATATAGGGGCTGGTTCAAATAAAAACTATGTCTGGTGTGAGAACCGTGAGAACCATATTTGATGCTATTTTTAATTGTGTATGATGCTATTTTTAATATTACATGGTGCTATCATTTTCATAAATGCTAATAAAAATTTTGTTGCTATTTTTAATCAAATACATCCTAGTTAAAAATAGCACTAAAACACAATTAATCATAGCACTACATACAATTAAAAATAGCGGTTCTCACGGTTCTCACACTAGGACTTGGTTCTCATTTGAACCACATCCTATATATATATATATATAGATTTTAAAGTGCATACTTAATTATCAGAGATGTTTATTTAGCAAATACAAAGTGCATATTAATTTAATTGGGCTATGGAGGTGAGAATAAACTGAGAAATAGGTATAGAAAATATCTAAGAATTTTAAACTGCATACTTAATTATCATAAAACGCTTATTTATCAAATAAAACGTTCATACTTTGGAGATATGAAAGTGAGAACAAATGAGAGAAATAAGTGTAGAAAAACTATGCCCGGTTTTGGTAGATAAAATAGATTGAAAACTTCTTCNAATCAAATCATTTTAAAATAACAAACTAATCATTATTCCAATTATCTATTTGGTCCCTACATAATAAACCAATCAATCACATACTTAGTAAATTGGTCCCTACTTTGAGTTAATTTATTCCTATATTCTCTCTATTAGTGTTATATATATATATGCGGCTAACATAAACACTATGCTTATAAGAGCATCTCCAATGTGACTTTTAACATTATAAAAATTCATCCATATTATCAACTTTTGAAAGTTTGTTACAAATTTATTCTCCAATGCATCTTGTCATAAACTCTTTCATGATGAGGTGGATAGCATTTAATGTTGACAATGTTGAACACACTTTCTAATATCTAACACCATGTTAAACATGATGACTAATCAATTCACTTTATATTTGATTTAATTTTTTATTGTTCTTGTATTAATGATTATTTTAATTGGTCCACCTATACATATAACTTCTTATCAAATTGATGCATTGGAGATACTAATTTGATTCAAATTTCTACTCTTTTAACATTATTCCTACATGGGTTAACATTACAATCATTGATTGACATGTGTTAAAAATTATTTTCTTTCAAAGTTATAACATTGGAGATGCTCTAAGTCGATAGGTAGTTCTTCAATAACATATTTGGTATCCAAACTCCAAAGGATACCTAGTAAATTGGAGATCAACCCATGTTGTAAGATTTCTCTCTCTATCCACTTTCTAGTTTCTACATAACCCTAATTTAATATTTTCGAAAAGAGATGTAATTTACTATTATTAGAATCGGTTTGACCTTGAAGAGCAACGGGGCAAAGATTTGAGCATTGATTTCTATCCAGAATTTGAACATTAATTTTGGACATTAATTTATTCCTATTTTTTAGTCACGGTTAAGTAATATTTATAATTTAAGTATTTAAGTGTGTGTTGGTGTTGAAGCTTTTGAGAGTTGTAAATGAATCAAATCGATATGAATTCAAACTCGACTTGCATAATCTGACAAGCCCAACTCTTGAGTTTTTATTAAAAAAATTATTACAGCTCATTATACTTAACAAACTCACCATCTGTTGAATCAATCTTAAATTATTAGTGCATTATTATAAAGTACTAATTAATAAATAGGAATCCAAGTCATTAATAACTACTTATGCAATGTAAACTATGGATTAAAACTCTATAACTGCCCTTCACCTGTTTAAGTCTGGTAGACCTAGAACAAACCGATTTAAACAACCTTGTATTTGTACTTTTCTGCCAAACTATCCAGAAAATCAAAGAAGTCTGATTTTGGTTGGCTAATAACAAAGTCAAATTAAAATTTTAATTATAACTTCCACTAGTCTCATGCTTACCTTTTTTTGTGCATGCCCCATCACGCCCACTTGATTTATGGTTTACAATTTTTAAATCTTACGTACCAAGTTTATGTCTTTCTTTTTCTCCTTTTCAAATAATAATATAATAAAAAAAGAAATATATAGGATGATTTTTTGTGTTCCTGAAACAGTAGAATTGATATTTGAATCTTTTGAAGTCAGCCCATGTAAGCATATCAAGTGTGTGTTTTTTCTAGGAAAATATATGATAAATAATACAGATTAAAACATATATTGGACTTGTTTTTTGTTAAGAGATTGGTACTAATCAGTTGATTGAACTTAACTAAAAATCACTATTTAAATTTGCTAATTACAATCATTACCCACTGCTATAAGCACTACAAAAAAATTATTATAACATTTCAACGGAAAATCCTATGGTAATATATTCCAATGGTATACCTTTCGTTGGAATCATTCCAACGGAATTAAAATGTATTTTTCATTGGAATTTTAGATGGAATTTGATGATTTCAACGGCTATATTTCCAATAGCTTTTCACCGTAGGAATTTCCGTTGGATTTTTTTTTTCCACCACCGTTGGAATCCAACGGAAATTCCAATAGCTTTTCTACTGTTGGAATCGTCAAAACCAACGGAAATTCCAATGGAAAACTCATTCCAATGAAATATTTTTATTGAAATTTCCATTGGAATAATCCCCGAAAAGATAGAATTTTATAAAGAAACAAACATAATACATCTAGAAACAGCAAATGGCTGATAATAGACAGCTATAGAAACAGCCAAATGCTATGAGTTTGACTTAAGCAAAATTTACGGTCAACGAAAAAAAGGTAGGTAGTTATAGTCTCACGTTTCTTTTTATCAACTAAAATACCTAACAAATATACTTGATTTTTCAACCATATCCATTCATTATGGATCTTTATCAAATAGAGTACAATACAAATAACCTTGATAGATGCGGTAATGCGGTACCTATTAAATCAAATCCAATGAATGTATTCATAACAATCAATAAAAGAAATAAATATCTTTATCCAAAACAATTTTGCATAAATTACTCATGAGCCATACTTTTCTTTTACGTAAATTTTTATAACTCAACTTGTTTAAATTTGAATTAAACTTAGTAATATTGATGCTTTGACTACTAGTACTCAATAGTTGGATGGTCTAGTAAAAGAGCTAAGCTTGGCTAAACAAGATTAAAATAAAAAAGTTTAAATTCAAATCAATACAAATCATTGATTAGACAATTTTATTTTATTTCAACCTATGAAATAAATCATTGAAAATATCGCCTTTTATTTTGAATGTTTAAACTTTAAACCAAACTCCTCATCAGTCATCAGCTTTCCACCAAAAGCCCAAAACAGAATTTGGAAAAAAAATCCCCAAATCATAAAATCTATTTATATATATATATTTCTTTTTCTTTCGCGCACTACAAATCGGTTTCGAATTTTTCTCTGTTCTCCTTCGCCGCCGTCTTCGTCCTCAAATTACAATTACGCCGTCGCTGTTCTCCGATAAGTCGATCGAGGAAGCTCCTTGAGAAACCACGTGGTTTTGACTCGGTCACAAATGGCGGAATCGAGTCGAAACGGCGGCGCTTCAGCATTCTTATCGGAAACCGGGATTCCGACCAGTTTGAACCGGATAAAGACGCGGCGGGTCGACGCCAGCTCGGTGGTTGAAGATTCTGACCACTTCAATGACTCGCCCGGCGGCGAAATTCCAATCGCGGGAGCTCACGTGAAGCCGAAGCTCAAGGCTCCGACGAAGGGAGATGTGAAATTCGGCCGCGCTAAAGAAGGTTTCATGTCGTTTTAATTTAATTTCATCGCATGGGTTTTATTAGGCGCTTAGATTACTGTTCACTTACGCGCTGGCATGTTTCCTTAGGAATTTTGATCCAAAGAGTTATGTGTTGGGAAATATCTGGCTGTTTTTGGCATCTCAAGAATTTCAAGGGAAAGACAATTACTCGATTTTACATAGCTTGGATGGTTCATTGAATCAGCCTGTAATTATATGCAAATGTTATCTGTATAGTTGAAGGAATTGTGGTAATAATAATCTGAAACGTCAGACACTGGGGTGGGGAAGCTGGTGCATGAGTTACTATATGCTAATAGAAATAAAAGTTGGTCTGATGGGCTCTCACATTGGCAGTTGTTAGTATTTTCAGGTAAAATTTGTCCTTGAATTTAAGCACTTCAAGAAGCCACTAGTTTGTTATATATATATTTGGTACTGAGGTACTGATAGTAAAGTTTTAATAAAGTGATTCAACAAAACTAAAATCTGACTTCCTCGTGTTCTTTTTTTTCCCCCTCTTTTTCTTAGAGGGGTTGATGTTATGTATTTAAGATTGTGATATGGTTAGATATTAGTGGTGAAGGTGATAAGGTTGTCTATACTGTCAGTTGACAGCAGTAAAATGATCATAGTGTTTGATTGATCTAGGAATGTATTTTGGTGTTCATGTTATAAACCCTTCCTGCTCTCCACTCACTCAGGAGTCATGCACCACCTCACAT